ACTCCTCATATTGAAAAGAATAATCTTCATTCATACATGTGTGAAATAATACAATTATTAGTGAACAATTGAAACATTGAATAACGACGAGTAAGCTGACTGTTTTCGGATATTCACATTGAAAACAATGTAGCTTTAGCAATTGACATTAGATTTCAATTAACTAAACTTAATACAAGTTATGTAAATTACCTCGAAAAATCATGCTTTTTGCTCACAAAATATCTTCTACAGATTGTTGGCTGTAAACTCAGGTGATACAGGTTGTGGTGTGGGTAATAATCTCGATCCAATGTTGATGTTCAAAGATGTGGTTGATTTGATAATCAGTCGTGAATTCGTCTTGCAAAGGGGTCAAACTGAAGGCGCGATAACATATAGCGATACAGACGTAAGAAAGTTTTCTTCATATTCACACTCGGATAGGGCGAAGTTAGGATTGACGACAACTACTTCAACTAATGCACCAGTTACAGATTTCATTCAAATGGCATCAACATTGTTATCACAAGGTAATGTGAACATTATTATGATATCGTCTAATTATATTCATATTATTTCACATATCACTACTGTACAACAACGGCCATCTTTCAGTGCTTCTAGATTTCTAATGGTGGTCTAACAAAGATTGACGGATGATTTCAAATGTATAAAAACACTAATCTCCATAAATCTAATTGAAAATATTGTAAAAGTAATTTGATCACGAAACGACTGCTTGAATTGATATACACTACAACATGTCACAATGAACGATTATCAGAACACAACTTTCAACTGCCTGCCACTCTCAGTACAAAACCCCAGTCTAACTACTATTGAATATATATTTAGGAAGACATCATCCTCCTCCCCCTCGAGATTACCGATTTTCACAGACGTTTCAATAGAATTTTGTACTGTGAACACACCCGTTGTTTTGAATATTAGATCATGAAATTAAGTAAGAAGTGTTTCATGTCTGATTGCTGAATTGGTTGTTATTGAGGCGATTACACAGCTCATTGCATTTACCATACTCAACTATGATACAGTATATTTATCATTTAACATTTGGTTACATTTGGTAGGAATGCCAATCATTTATTATGCAACTGAGATTGGTATCACCAACTTGAACTTAGTTCAAGTTCCAAAAACAATTTATCCAAAAGACAAGTCTTACAATAATGACGGTAAACATCAATCGTTACGATCTCATTTACCAATGCCATGGGATTTAAATGGGAAAAGATTTTCCACAGCTATAAATGATGCCATTTTCACTGACTATTTAAATCTTTATGGAAATGTTTCTGTTGTTGAAGTAAGTAGTGTGATATAGTTACAGTTAGTAGTGACTATTTGTTATGCATTTTTCCCATTCACAACCTCTATTTGTAATATACTGAAAATGTTGATTTATTCAAAACTATATCATCCAATAGAAATAATGATTGATAGATTTCATTGAACATTTTGTCGATTACACATGCATGGAAATCGTTATTGCAAATGATCTGCCTACTTTAACAAACATAATTTGTACTTTCGATTTGACAGAAAAAAACAATAGTTGAAGTAAACAGGATGCAATAAGATTGATTAGTTAGCTGTTTAGTATTTAGATGTTTATTGCACGGTTAAATTCTCTGGAAAATACAAATCACGTACAGATTTGTTAAGGTAGTATTAAGCTAATCGACTCATCAATTGTAATGAACATTGGAAGTGCGTGAATGGTACTCAACGTCTACACACTAGTAATTGGGACGACTGTTGTATAACGAAAATTCAAGAAACTAGTAGGAAAACTGCAATCATATGTACTTTGTTTGCAACCATGAATCGATCAATGTTAGACCACCATTAGAAACCTGGAAGCACTGGACGGCCGTTTCGTCCTGGTATGGGACTCATCACCAGTGCGCATCCACGACTCCTGCACCCAGGTTTCTAATGGTGGTCTAACATTGATCGATTCATGGTTACAAATAAAACTTAACAATGTTCACAACAACCCCGCAATACATGTACTTTGATCACGTTCACAATACGAAATCAATACAATGATCAGAATACAATCAGTGTAGGCATTGACAAATTCCAGAAAATGACATTTGAATTTGTATTACTAAAGCGACCTCAATTCATATGACAATAAGACTTGAAGTGTCTGATGATGAAATAATGCTGATGATTGTAGGATGCGTCAAATCAACTTAAACTCTGGTTACATGGTAAACTGTTTAGCGCTCAATTCACTTCATCTTTCACTGTAGTAAATGTATTTCTTTGTTGATTGACACACACACACACAAGTTTTGTTTGGTAATGAACATGTTCAGTGAAATCGAACAATGCACTGATTTAACTGAGCATACCATATAACAGTTCTTATTTCGATCGACAGAAGTAGTTGAGCCATATAGTAGTACTGTTGTAATGCAAACAGTTTCATAAATCATACTGACTACAACAATTGTCTTTTCTTTGAAGACTGAACTTGCTGAGAGAAACAATCAATCAAATATTCGTCTCATTCAAAAATTGGTGGCTTTACGTCAGAAACCAAGTATGAAATGGGGAAAAATGGAGCGGATACGTCTGAATGGAGTAAGTGTTTTCAAAGTTCATATATTGTCAAACTAACTACCTCTATTTAAATAGTTTTACCAGATCTCGAACACTTTGAGTTGATGTTAATATTCACAGGGGAGAAAATAGTGTTGTTTATCAACATTTTAGCAATTCGTTAGTTCGAAATTTTTATCATCTTGTATTCGTTTGTGGTGACCCATTTCAACGGCGGGCTCACCATTGTGTGTACACTGGCGAGCGAATGAGTGACTGAAGGAAATCGTATGAAGCGATGTGGAGAAGCAGTGTATAAAACGAATGAAGAGACGTGAATTAGATAAGCGTGTTGTAGAATGGTAATGAGCCAACTCCGAGGAATACAATTCGAACGAATCGGCGAAGGAAGCGAATAAACAGGCGAAGCGCGTTCGAGAAGGCCAATGAGCCAACTCAAAGGAATAGAGCAGACTAAGAATATATAGTCAGACAAAAATAAGACTGACATGTGATCAACGAGATAGGCATGCACACACATGAATAAAAGCGGCGAATGGTTGACAAGGACAAATAATAAGTGGGACACATCATGTGACCTCATGCAAACCTGACAATAATAAGAACGAATGGTACATATTAATTGTTGCAATAGAAATGGCTTGGTTAAATCAATTAATCGAAAGGGCTTAACCAAGTTAGATGTAAGCGAACTGGAATATATGAGGAGGCGCTACACAATAAATAACCACTACGTTTAAACTACTGTTACAATGTATTCAATTATCAATTAGGAAATGTAATGTTCATTCACTCATTCATTCATTCATTCATTCAATGATTTGTTATCTTCTCTCAACTTGAGAACTTGCTGCAATACAAATTTTGTCCGTAAATTCCATCATACATAAACAATAGACTAGTGTTAATCTCCTAGTTATTCAAATGAGCGTAAAATTTACTCGAAACACAGTTCACTCATAACATGTGAGCAACATCGACCATAGAGTCAGTTGAGTAGTCTTTCATATTTTTTACAGAATGATGAACAGTGGTCGGATAAAGATGAGATCATTTTGTAACTAACCCATGGATCATCTACTCATTTCGATGACCTCCATCTTGTGTATTCATTCAGTATAACTTCCTTGGGATATATATGCTTGTCACTGAGTTTGATTTTGAGTTCACTGTTTACGACTGCATTCAAATTAAACAGAATTCTTCTCATCAAAATTTTTGACAACAAGTCAATTCATCTGATATCTTACTCTCTCTCTCTCATACTACTCGTCATCGATGAATCTCAACTTCCATGACTGTTATAAATGTGATTTTGAAGTGTGACTTTAAACTGAATGAATGAACTATTCGTAAAAAGTGTTTAGTAGTTAAGTTCAAACACTGTTTTTATTGATTCCGTTTCAGGCATCTGAACAGCTCATTGAAGCATTTGCACGAAACGCTAAAGGATTTCCAAAATTTATTGTGCTGTTATTAAAGACTGCAGAAAATAATTATTTGTTGGATTTAAGTACTATTTGTTCATCAGTTACACCGAGAATAATTCATCCTTCAAGTCCAAATTTCCCAGTTGACATTACATTATCCCATTCCAGAATTAACATGTCAATGGAAATTAAACAGAGGCGTATTTTTGTGTTTGAATGTGACTAATAAATCCAATTGAACATTTAATTCATTTACTCCAAATCAACATTTTGATCTTAATTCATAACTGATTATCGTTTGTCGTTTGTACACCCTTTTAATTTGACATTCTTACTTAACTTTCTGTAGTTTATTTTTGTTCATCCATTGATTTTCATTTATAAATTGTTTGTAGTGTGTAATTAATTATTATTTTTATTGGAAAAAACGCTTTGACATGTCGGATATGTTGTTGTTGATGATGAATTTCGCTTTCGAATTGTTTGAGATCATAGAATATTGAGCAAAAACATTATTTGTTGTATGTCAAATCGTCCAGATCCATGTGATTATATTATTGATTCATGTGAATTTTGAAATAAATATCTGAGTGTTTGTTTAGATTTACAGTAATGTATTTCAATGTACAATGACCAATTTTACATCGATTATCTGAGTTAAATGTATAGGAACTCAGTTTTGTTCTATTTACATGTGTACAAGTCTGTCATCTGTGTTTAGGTTTATGAGACATGTATCAAACAAATGTATGCTTTCAAGCCAAATATTGGCTTCACATTAACGAACATGAGAGATATACGTGTTGATATGTGTGAAGGTAAGTAATTAATCCCAAAATTTCAATACGATAGTCTATAGAGAAGAAGGTGTCAACTACCATGGAATTTATCGGAATATCTGCACCGATCAGTTATAACATGATGAAGTCTTATCGACACGTAACATGTTCTGCTAGTCACAGTGAATTCACACTCCAACATTAAGTGGTTTAATAAAAATTATCTAATATTCTGTAGAAATGACGTTACACCATCTATACAAGATTACAATGAAATAGAAGGTAGTGCTCTCTTTGCACACACCTCTGATAGCCTTTCTATACAAAAATAAGCAGTCATTATAAAGACTACAGACATGCTGACTCAAGCCGCCTGATAAGATATTCTCATCTACATTACCTGTTGTCGAATAATATTGGTATGGATATCATTGATGTATTTGATCAATTCACGTGTTTTGATCCATTCGCACCTCTGAAAATGCGCAGAGCTCTAAGGACGAATGCATTATTTATGCCAATTAAATAACGTAATACATTAAGACACATGCAGAAACTTTCAATTTGAATCAAATGATTTCACATTAGCTTCAGAAATATTCATGAATTTTAGTCCACTGAAAGTAAATCATAGGTTGAAAACAAATACTGAGGAGTTGTCAGTATCTAATACTGTCTGAAATGCATGAAACCTGCTAATTATTTCCAAAAATTTCTTAAAATCGATGGCATTCAGTGATCTCAAAATTAGTGAACCCAAAGCCTCTATGAACGTCTCAAAGAATATTGAAGAGAAAAGAAATTAGCTACACTTAATCCAAATGTAGTGGACCTGATGTTCCATCATTTCCGAAACTGTCCACTCTCTCGTCTGCAGCTTCTGTGGAAACAGGAACTGAATCTTCCAGTTCGAAAGCCAAATACATCATTCTTTGATGCAAATCTTGAGATAAGTCCCATCCAAATTATTGTTGACTCAGAAATATTATTGCACTTATCTCTGAGATAGTGGAAAGAAGTGGTTTCTTTAGTATGAGAAGCCTATTCTGTATTCAGACAGTCCTATAGTGGTGTATTCAGTTCTCACTCACTTACATGCTGAAAAGTATGCGAAACTGTGACAGTATGAATCTCTATGGTTTAGCACAGTAATACTCGAAATGGAAGTTCTAGTTTAACACATCTAAACTTCGATTAGTTTGCTTTGTTATTCGTTTACTCAACCTCAACTTTATCCTAGTTTGTAGTGTTGTTTCGTTCTGTGAGCTGGATTTTTCATACAGTAAGTCACTTAGGTCTTAAGTATTTACAAAATTCAACCCTCTTGACACAGGTCTCAAAACAGACTTGCAAATGTCAACCAGTTTTGAGTTGCATACTTTGAAACCTCTGTAAAAACGAGTTATGTGTTATGATTTAATACGTGTGTTTGTAACTGTTCTTAGAATAGTGGACTTTTTTTGCTGGTAGTATTCGCATATAAGATGGGAAATAGTTCTCGGATCTATGCAGAGGCAAGTTTCACTTTGCATCATCAGGATCGACTGTACTTTAATCTAAAAATCCAGATGTAATAAGCTTAGACTTGACACTTTTTTGAGGGAGTAACTGAAACTGAGTTAGATTCTTTTCTTAAACATGGTTAGCATGTTGTCGAGCCTTCCTGCATTACCACATCTTATTTGTGAGTTGACCATGCTGATTTGTTCAGTTGTTTGTTGAGTAACATCTGTTGGAAGGTTTTCGTATGCTTCTTTGATGTTCGGTGGATTGTGTCAGGTTGGTTTATTCAAAAGCTCCTCAAATTGCTCCATGAATCTGACATTTCAGAGTTATTGCTTCTTTACTCCACTTTTCTGCTATATTTGTTTCCATTTCATTGAGCAAATCTTGAAGTGCTTGGAGTCCACTGCACAAAGCTATTCCGATTTCGTTGATTGTGTCAGTATGTAGAAAATAGGTCGCCGCCATGACAATTTTGAACTCTTTATTGAGGCAAATATGGTCGGTCTGGTTCTCTGTAGTGTGATCAAGTGAAACACATCTAGCTTTGTGAAAGCGTTTGCGTGAGAATATGGTAGTACCTCTTACCGCATTCATTCCATCACTCCAATGCATATCGTCTAATAAGAACTCCACATCCAGTATTGTCGATTCCAACTTTGATTTCTCGGTCTCAAATCAGCATTGTTAGCATTTTCCTAAAAACAGATATGACAAGAATGAATAACGATTGGACAGAAGTGTAAAAGTTTGTCAGAGACAGAGTACGCTAAAGAATGCTGGTAAGTAAGTAGTTTTAATCTCTCGTTTTTCTAATCTAATGTGAACTAAGATTATGGTCGATAAATAAAATAAAAATTTTTCAAAAAGTATTTACAACTAAACACATACACAATTTTACAAAATCACAAATAATCAACAATAATCAACTGAGTTGATAGAAAGATTAACGAACAGATGATTCAGTTGTTTGATAAAAACACTCAACAGACTTTGGATGAAGTAATAACATAGACATTTAGATGACAAATGAGTTGGTGAATTCTTAATGATTGTTTATCACCAATTTTTCGTATATTTATTAGTATAAATAAGTTAATCAAAGGAATGTATGCTGTCTATTTAAGAAAAACCCAATCGATTTGTTAACTCAGCTTGTTATCAGGTATTAGGTTATCAAAAATATAGTAGTTTGCCAAAATAGTTGTGTGAATAAAATACATAACAAGAGAATTTCGTCCAGCGAGAAGAGAAGAGACACACTAGTCAGAGACACAAGCTATGGCTACTCATTGACGACGAAATTTGGCATGAGTTGGCATGAGAAGATACTGAAATTTGATTATTTGTGAGGTGATATACTCTCAATGGTTTCAGAATTATTGTTAGTCTATGTGTGATAGTATGTGGGATGTGTGGTATGGAGTAGTTAACTAATCAGTTGAAGACGAGCATTTTGAGATGATCCACTCGAAAAGAGTGTTTGTTCAGATAGGGTGATCCATATATGAACGCCAGTTAAACTAGATCTGTGGAACCAGATTCAAACGCTTAATGGTTGCGTTCTCGTCAACATTTAGCAACATAGTTGGGTGAATGTGTCGTGTCGTCTATCAACAGCGCAATCATTGGATTAAAATCAATGAAGTTCTCTCTGTCACACATATAAATAAAGATCTAAGCAATCACTTTAATGGAGCAAGATTGCAACACCTGCACACGCCTGGAGCCATATCGATCAACGCCACAAGATCCAACTCACATATGCAAAAGAGATCTGTTCATTCTCTGTGTTGAAATAACCTTATGATTGTTTGTCGGCATTAATGTGAAATGAACATGCTTGGTAAACGGACAAGCCCGCTGTACATGCACATCGCTGCTTTTTAGGCAACACAAGGATTTTCACTGTCGCCAACAGTAATCACCCCTGCCCCAATCGGGAACATACATGTTGTCTAGTTTGGCCTGCAAGTAGGTCGGACGTCCAAAAAGCACGTACACGAACAGTGGCCCCCGTTAGGTCACTTATGAATCAACAAGATCCCTCCAAAAATCCACTACCCAAAATCCCCAATCGGCATGAGAGGCAAGGCGGGCTTCTCCAGCTAGACCTAGCACCCTGAATGGATTACCGAGCCACTCAGCAGTGCACTAACCAGCAGCTTTTCCAACTGTCTGAACATTGTGAGCAGGTCTACCTTACTAGACTTTCCATATTTGCTGATATTTGCCTTACCACTTTCTTGATCAACATATTCATGTTTTCTAATTCACATAAATTCTCATCGTCATTGTGTTGACGCTAAGTAACTCATTACATATTATTCACACAGCTTATTTGGTTAGCTACTATAATTTTGATAACCTACTGCCTCTAAAACAAATCAAGCTGATCTTTATAAAGCAGACAGCATATATTCCCTTGAATAAATTGTTTATTTAATATTATACACAATTATGACATTAATTGCTTTATTGTACTCCTTTTGTTTAAGTGTATTAAAAACACTTACTTATGCTCAACTTTCTGTTTTCGTTGCTGCCATCCTTCATTACATACAGACAGACAGACAGACAGTTGCAACATAGAACTACGTACGTATGTACATAAGTTCATGTTGCCATACCTTATTAGAACAGAGACGCAGTGTCAATCAAATCCCATAGTGATAAAGATAGTAGGGTATAAATGGTAATGAAGAAGACTAGGGTTCAAAGATATTATTCAAGAAGTATAATTCAGTGAAATAAGATTAGTTAGACAAAGGTAGAGGTGCTGACGAATCCAGAAGATTAGGATTTGAGAGAGCTCAAAGAATGGATACACTTGCGCCATTGCAAACGATTTTGAGCCATGTCGTTCAAGGTCTCTAACCACTGGTGACTTTCGTCTCGCGGACCCCAACCAGGTAGTCTACATCTACCAACATGACTCAGTCCACTTGTCAGTGACTTCATGGTCTGGCCG